ATGAAAGTAGTAAGAATGAGTAACTCAGTCAAAAAATTCAATCGCACCATTACCAAGGCTGGATGTAATTTCAGAAAACTGAGGAAAAGGACTTCCAAAATGATGAAGGGTTTACAAATTGTAAAATAGGTGGTAGGAATTATCATCCGAGAAATCACAAACAGAAAAGAAACTGTGTCATCAGAGTGCTGAGAGGTGAGGAATAAAAAATGAAGTGGAGGAAACATGCCTGGCTGGGACTTCTTAAAAATGTTCCTAGCCACTGACTGAGTAGTAAGACTGATCAGAACTACCTAACAGCAGGAAAAAAACAGTAGAAGAGGTGAAGTGACCCAAAAGGTCAGTATTTGGTATCCTGCTCTTCCCATCGCGCCATCAGTTATATAGTACTGGCTATCAAATTTATTTTAATAAATAGTATGCTGAAATAACTGTTTAAAAGACAGTCATAGCAAACTTGTTTTAGGGTCATAAATTCTGAAAAGAATTAATGTGTATATCTAAGTGTTTATTTCTTGGTTTGGGACTTGTGGTGAAACATTAAGTTCAATTTTATTTGAGATGATTTAATCATCCTTATCTTAAGCAATAAATATGGTTTTGAACACCCATCTACCTTATTTCTAGAATATCATACAGATTTAAAGCAAAGATCAGTTGCTAAAGTAACAAGTCAAAAGTAAGAAGCTAGATGGCTTTGTTTAGTGAGGATCTATATGAACTTAGGTAATTACTTCTTACATTTTAATTTCACCGTAGTAAGCTTAAAGTGTAACTAACAACAATGTAAAACTTGAATTTGAAGTAACTATACTGCTTAATATTGTGGAGCAAGGAAATTTTTAGAGTTAATGAGTCAATGAGATCAAAACAAAAACTACAGCAAATTCAGTCAAAATATGATTATAGATTAAATTTCCGAGGGCTATGGGAAATTAGGAAATAGGGAGCTTTTAGTAAATATTTTGGGTTTGTGACACCTTGCATTGTGACTAGCCATTGGCTCTGTCAAGCATGTAACAAATCTGTAACAGAGACCCCGTCTTTATGGGGATTGCTCAACCTTCAGTAACAATTGAGAGCTCTTACAAGCAGATGGCTGGGGGACTGTAAGAAACCATTTTGGTTTTACGTCAGTCTCCCAGTGGGTAAGGGCCCACACTGTAATAAGTACTAATTAATAATATTTCCAGGAACTCTGACAAAGAACCATGGACTGAATGCATGTGGAAAAATTAGCTATTCTTGCTCAAAAAGCTGAGTTTTCAAATCAGGATTTTTGTGTAGATTTGATTCCTCATCTATCTTCTCTTTTTCTAGTCTGTGGAGGAGTCCTTGGGGAACAGTTTTAGTTGAGATTGTACTAGGAAAGTAGTTTTCCAATGCATTGGCTTTCTTAGGACCGAAATCAGAAAATTAGTGCAGAGCTACCAGAGGGAGTACTGACACTTCTCCTGCTACTTCACTTGGACACCCCAGCTCTACCACTATGGTTCTACTTCTTGGGATGCTTATGGGATATCTTATAAACAGGCACGTATTCTGAAGTATCTATGCTACTTTTGGGAAGGCTGTGCAAGAACTGCGGGGGATATGCTACTATTACTTGCTTCTCCCAGCATATTGCCATGTACAAACATAATCCATACAATTTAGCTCTTACAATTTAGAAATTATGTCTTTATGAAAAATTGGTGTAATACTTCCATTAAAGTTGAGAAATCTCTTATTATACCTCTGACGTTAACAACTTGATCACAGGGGTACAGGATGCAAGTTATAATGACAAAATTGGCTAGTTAGTATCATGTAGTTGAGTGTAGATTATTACAGGATTTGTACAAAAGGGAATTCGTTGCCATTTTTTTTTTTGTACGGATAGTAAATATCTCTGTTTTGCTCTGTTGGGTTGACATACAGAATCTTCTTGTCATTAGCAGGTACTTCTTGCTAATATATTGGTTTATGAGTTTTCAATGATAAATCAGTGACACAAAGTTCTTTCCCATTTTTGTTGACTGGGAGTTGCTGTTTGAATATTAAGTAAAATTTTGTTTACTCGTATAACAACATAGATAATATCTGAAAAGATTATTATCCCAGAGGGTAGATACTATCTGTTAACCTCTCCATGCAGTAATAACTACCTTGAATCTATATTTGAAAAGACAAAACCAAACTAAAACATGTAAGCATGATGCTGACATTCTGTTCTAGTGTAATGTCTCCTATTGTCTTCCTAGTATGCATTTTCTGTCATTTTCATCATTCTTCTGAAAAAATTATAAATGCTATTACACAATGAACATTAGAAATGTTATCCCAAATAACACTAGCTGAAAAGAGATAGTTTCATTATTTAAACAAAAGAAATATTGTTCCTACCATATTTGCTTCTGGAAATTGAAAAGTGAAGATGGGATAGGGGATAGAAAAAGGACTGGGAATTTGCCCTTGAGTTTCAACCCCTTTGGGGTTGAAAATAAACTTTTCTTAAGTAATGATCTTCAAATCATGGACTCTTAGTGTTAGCAGCTCATTTAAATAGCCACACAGTAAAAATGGTTGGGCAGCATTGTATTTTAGTGACAGTTTTGCCCATAAGAACTGCAAGATCTTCTTCCATTAATAAAATCCGTATATAAATATATATGGATATATTATAAATGCCATATATAAATGACACTCTGAATCCATGTGTATGAAAGAAGTCCATGGCATTAGAAGAAAAAAAAAAAAAAAAAGTTTGGTCTGAAATCGGAGCTGATGAAACAGAGGCACCCTCAATAACATCTAAGAATCGCTCTGGCCCGAGATTCCTTTGATATATGGTAATTTCAGCTGCTTACCTTTAGATTAAAAATATTAGTAATGGTGTTCTCAGAAGTCAAGACCAGATACTTGAATAATCCTCACAGATGTTAGTACTCTAAATAGGAGAGATACTGTCATTCCTACAAAATAAAACACATAGTAGGATGGAAATTTAAAAATCCCTGCAAGATGTTAAAGTGTATAGAATCATAGAATCATAGAATCATTAAGGTTGGACAAGACCTCTAAGATCATCAAGTCCAACCGTTAACCCAACACCACCATGCCCACTAAACCATGTCCCTAAGCGCCTCATCTACACGTCTTTTAAATACTTCCAGGGATGGTGACTCCACCACTTCCCTGGGCAGCCTGCTCCAAGGCCTGACCACTCTTTCAGTAAAGAAGTTTTTCCTAATGTCCAGTCTAAACCTCCCTTGGCGCAACTTGAGGCCATTTCCTCTCGTCCTATCGCTTGTTACTTGGGAGAAGAGACCAACCCCCACCTCGCTACAACCTCCTTTCAGGTAGTTGTAGAGCGCGATGAGGTCTCCCCTCAGCCTCCTCTTCTCCAGGCTAAACAGCCCCAGGTCCCTCAGCCGCTCCTCATAAGACTTGTTCTCTAGACCCTTCACCAGCTTCGTTGCCCTTCTCTGGACACGCTCCAGCACCTCAATGTCCTTCTTGGAGTGAGGGGCCCAAAACTGAACACAGTAGTCGAGGTGCGGCCTCACCAGGGCCGAGTACAGGGGCACAATCACCTCCCTACTCCTGCTGGCCACACTATTTCTGATACAGGCCAGGATGCCATTGGCCTTCTTGGCCACCTGGGCACACTGCCGGCTCTTGCAGTAAGTACATGGAGAACTACAGTGAGAAATGAAAAAGTTGGGGAAAAAAGCCAGATTGTAAATTATAAGGAAAAGGGAAGTTGGTAAGTCTGTCATTTAACCCTGAGGATAAATGTCCTAAACGATGATGGTTAGGAATGTAAAGCTGGCAAAGAAGATGAACTACTCAAAGAGAGTGGAAAGAGGGGACAAGAGAGACTTAAAAACTAAGGCAGGAATTTCGAGCTCTCTTCAGATTCAAGTCAAAGAACATCACTGAAATTTCTAACAGGGATATGGACTCTCAAAAAACTCAGTAGTTAAACAAAAGACATTAAGTTCAGTGATCAAACTGTAAGTCATAAAAACCAAACCAGAAATCAAAAGCGAACATCAGATGGTAGTTCAACAGTCATAACAGAAAAGGGGACGTGGCAGGTAGTAGTTCAACCAACAGAACAGAAAAGGGGACGTGGCAAATTCTTCATTATCTCTAATCCTTAAATCATGATTTAATACGCTCGTTTGTTCCGAGTTTCTGGACTGTAGGTGCTGACCCCCCGCTTTCCCTCGTGTCAAAGAATACAATCAGGGAGTTGAAAAGCGTTGAAAATTTACTGCAGTCTTCCCTACCCTTTGCAAATCCTTAGTCTTCAAGGTCAAGTAACTTCCATCAACCTCTCAAAGCTCTCCCAGATTATATAGATTTACTGTCACCAATAATTCTTAAACTATTTTATAATAAATTGTGAAAATCTGACTTAAATGAGAAACTTCAACCTAAGAAACTCTAAAAGGGCTCATCTAGTTCTCGTCACTGTATTTAGTGATAGAACAGTGAAACAAATACATCATGATACAGATCAGCTGATAAAAGTCTGTGCTGTTACTGGCTGTGCCTGTATGTTTTAAGTAACTATTTGTAATGAAAATGAAGCATGGAACTATTTTCATGAGGGATGAAAGCTTAATGTTTAGTTAGGAATGCATTTTGTACTTGGCTGTTTCTGTAGTATGTTATTACTTCACCCTGGACAAGTTTTGTGGGTACTGACTGCATTTGCTGCTTCTGTCTTCATTTCTGCTTTTGACAGTAAGTTGTGTTTCTTGTGCTGTTTGGATTAATTTTTTTGTCAGTATTAAGATACTGACACTGAAGTCATGCTGTAGGTACCACTTAAGAGCCATTCGTTAGAGATGCAAATAGTTTATTTTGAAAACCTCTTAAGTAAATTCACCAATGTATTAAATGTGCATGATAAAGTCTTAAGTTAACTTCTATATATTGCAGCTAAATGTAACAGGCCTTATAAAGTTTAAATACCGTATCTTAATCCAGACAGTGAAAACTTGTAATTACATTGTGTATCCCGGAAGTTTGTTTATTACAAGTTCACTGATGTCTTTGTATTGATTAGGAACACATAGTTTTCCCAGAAAATCATCCTCTTTGTCCGACATACTGTTTTCCAGGACACTAAGTTCAAGATCAGCCATGTTAGATGGCAAGTAAGAGCTAACCTGAGTTACTGACTGGCTGTTTCCTGCAGAGGTCTGCCCCTTTCCTATATTCAGATCAGCATCAGAGCTAACTTGTTCGCTTCTCAGTGTAGATACTTGTTTAACATACCGATCATCCTTGTTCTCTTCCTTACTGATCTGTTGGACTTCCTGCTCTTCATCTAATAACCTTGCTCGAATGGAAGCATCATTAAGTGTATCAACAGATTCACCACTGGTTCTCTTGCTGATTTTTAAGTCACAGCTTCTCTTCAAAGACTGGACTGGAGATGAAACTGAAGGAACTGGCAGAAGATCTGAAGTACTTTCAGCTCTTTGACTTGTCTTTGAAATTCTGGACCTGCTGGATTCCGGCTCTGTATCTGACCAACCTCGCTTTGGGCTTTCAAGCCACAGAGGTTCAGGACTGCTGTCTAGAGCTTCTGAGTCTCTGCCCGTACACTCAGCACTGGTGAAATCTTCTGAATAAACTGTGTTCTCAGGACTAGCAACAAAGTCATCTGAGTATATGAATTCAGAGTTGCTTTCAACACTCCTGCTGGGGCTTGGTTTATGATCACTTAAAACAGACGCATCGTCATGCTCCGTGGTTTCACGGTGGATTAAGTGTATTGCTTCCTCATTACTTCCCTTTCCATTAGCATCTGATGGGAAAGCTGCTGGGAGTTGGGCTTTCACATACGTTTCCTTGCAAGCAGGTTTTAATACAGTTTCCTCCAGTAAGGGGGCTGTAGTTCCTTTGCATGGACTTTCCTTGCTTGCAATTTCATCATTCTTCAATAGACTTGCAATAGCCTGCTTCTGCAGGTCAGGGGACACATCTCCTGTCATGGAAACGTACTCTGCGAGAGCACTGTTTTGTGATGAAGTCTCAACAGTTTTATCAAACTGATTATTCTGCTTTGAACTGTCTCCCTTGCTACAATGCCTGTAGGAAACCACATCCTGTTCTCCAGCATTTCTGAGCAGCTTTCTTTTGGATAAATGGCTTCTGTCCTTCAGCATCTCCATTTGCTTTTTTCTGTACTGCTCTCTCCTTTCATGAATTATCAGCTTATCAGGATTGGTCTGCTGCAGCCGTAGCCTCAGTGTATTTGTCAGCCCATACAACAGTTTCCTTCTGGGAGGTCTGTTTTCCTTAGTTTTGCAGTTCCTTTCAGAGCTTGTCTCTCCCTGGGATACAGCTTTCTTAGGTCCTCTCCTAGCCTGAGAAGATCCTGGTGAGGTGGCCTCTTGCCAGCCTTTCTTGAATCGAGGGCTGGCAGCTCCACTGCTCCCACCTGGCCTCACAGGTGCCTCTGCAGGCTTGGGGGGAGAGGAGCAGCTGGGGCTGGGGGGCCGTGAGGCCATGCCACCACCCCCTGGGGCCTTGCAGAGCCAGGCCGGATGGGGGTGGACAGCAGCAGACGTAGCACTGCCGGTGAGCACCGACAGCTCTGCCAGCAAGGCACTGAGTAGCGGCAGCTGTCTCAGGGTGTTGTGGAGCTGCTGAGGGCTGGTGGGGTGCAGCAATGAGGGCCCAGCACTGGGCCGCGGGAGGCTGTGGATCTTGTCTTGCTCCTGGGGTCTCCATGCCTCGACATGCTCCCATTTCCCCGTGGCTGC